GCTAGCTCCCTCAACACCCTGGGGTGGAGAGCAACTGGACCTGCTGATTTGAACAAGTCCAGCCCCTCCAGAAGCTCTCTAACCTGGTCCTCCCCAAGCTGAGGTCTGGAGGCATTCCCCTCGAGTCTGTCTTTCATCACGGTGGGGAAGTCTCGGTCCTTGCCCAAGAAAATGGAGGTGAAGAATTGGTTAAAGAGGTCTGCTTTCTCCTCTGGTGCAACCACCAGATTGCCCAGAGGATCTTGCAGGGGCCCCACATTTCCCGGTACTTTCTTCATCCTCCCTATATATTTGAAAAAGGACTTTTTGTTATCTTTGATTTTGGATGCAAGTCCTAGCTCTATGTCCACCTTAGCTTTTCTGACAGCCCCCCTACAGGCCTGAGCAGAGGAAGTATACTCCTCTTTGGAGATAGCACCCTCCTTCCACCAGTTGTACATCGCCTTTTTGGCAATCAGGCATTCCCATACATCCTTGGTGAGCCAGGGGGGCTTATGGGGGTAAGCTTCAAAACAAAGCTTCAGTCTCCTAGGTTGGGAACACTGATAATAAACATACAGAGGAAGATGATATAAAGATGCACAGGCTAGAGGAGGCCAGCATCTCTTTTCTGATCTAAAGTAAGATATAGGCTGAAAATTTGTATTCCTACTCATACACAACGTAGAAAAAATTACTTGAACCAATATAGTATTAAATGATATAATCTGAGAGCAAGCCAATCTGTTTCAATTTAAATGAGCAAACATAAGCCTGAATCAAATTTGCTTCAAAATAGCTCCTCAACAGTGCCTATTTACTCACAATTGTATTATTTACTGCAATGAATACATTTCAACCAAAATCTAAATATTTTTTAAGGAAATAAATATAAGCTGTGTAAGGAGGCTGTGCAATCTCCATTTTGGAAGTTATTTAAGGAGAGGATAGACCAGTGGCTCTCAATCTTTTTGAACTCGTAGGTTCCTAGCCAAAATGCAGGACCTCCATCTAACCCAAGAGGTGCACAGCCCCACCAGGGGAGACACCTTGTTGGACCTGGTGCTGGCCACGGGTGATGACCTGGTGAGGGGGCTGCAGGTGCTCGACCACCTGGGTGACAGTGATCATCGCCTGCTGGAATTCACCATCCAGCACAAGGTGGCAAAGGCCTGCAGCAAGGCAGCAGCCCTAGATTTCAGGATGGCGGACTTCAATGAGCTAAGGAGAATAGTTGGGGAAGCACT